CTTATTACTTCCTTTTTATTTACTCCTTGTTTGGTATCTACAGATTATAAGAAAAACAGCCTGTTCTCCTAGTCCTTAGAGTGTGGCCTCATATAGGAGAAGGCTTTCATCATTAGCCTAGCCAGAGATTGCTGGGGTCTTTAAGACCTCTCTGTGTATGCATCCTCTCTGTACTTGTGTATGTACATTTCCAAGTGACTTTCTGCTTTTGTTTTTTTAGAAATGTATATTTCTTGCTCTTTCTGGCATCCATCAACTATTCCATGGGCCTTCTGGAGTAGCAGCATGCAGAAACTCATTTTCCTGTTGTCAGTGCCCCCCAAGCATCTTCACTATGTCAGAATCCATCTATGCTGTGAGACAGGTGAGACTGAATTTATTCCCTCAGGCAACCACCTAAAAATTTTAAATTTGACGAATGTGTTAATCATATCTTTCTCTCCTTAGAGATAAGCCAGTCACTGGGAGTCTTCTTGATTATGTTATGCTGAGTTGGGAGTAGGCTTCTGGTTGGTGAGTGTGTACTAGCCTAAACTTTTGCCCTGTTCTTAGCAGTGTTCAGACATCTAGAGTATGCTAGGTCCTACCAGTGTTCTGAGATAGTTGAAACAGAAGCCAGTCCTTGGTGCAGCCGCTTTAAAAGTTGGAATGTTGTATGTAAGATCTAGAGCTTTTCCTCCCCAAGGATAAGCTGGGAAGTGAGGTTTCTTCCCAATTATGTGGCACTGTGCTGAGGGACAGCCTATAGGAGATAAGTGCATACTTTAAGCTGTTGCTCTTTTCAGTGTTCCCAGTCATGCAGAGTATGCTTGATCTCATTAGCACTTGGAGACAGGCAAAAGAGAAGCAAGTTCCTTGGTCAACCCTGCAAAATTTGGAATGTTAGTTACATCATCCAGGCTCTTTCCTTCTCCAAGAAGAAACTTGAATATGGAGGTTTCTGCAAGCTAGATCTGCATAGTGCCAGAGAAGAGGGCTATGAGAAATGAATATGTGCTATTAAAAATCACCATCTTTGTTCTCAGCAGCCCCCAGCCACCTGAGATCATGAGCTGTCAGTATCACTTGCCAGCCCCCAGAAAGTCAGAACATTGGACATATGCTCCAGTCTTTTTTTTAATTCCCAGGGAGAAACTTTGATCCAGGGTTTTACTCCACATGGTGATGTTGTGAGATGGGGAAAGATAATGGTTTGAAGGTGTTTCACATTTTCCTACCAGCTCCTATGAGGCTGGTTTTGTGCACTGCAGTGCAGTAGCTTCTCAACTGGTTCCTGGATTTCTCATAGGGAATCGTTTTTCCTTGTGTTGTTGAACAGATGTGCCATCTGGGAAAGTATGACTTTATATTGTGCCTTCTTACTGACAGGCTTCTGCAAACGTTATCTTTAAGGCCTGTTTGCTCTTCACAAAATTTTGGTAATTTTTGACATATTTTAATTACAAGTGATGTATTTTATGACTTATCTCTTTTAATAAAAAGGATAAAAGTAAGTAAATAAATGATTATGATAAAGACAATTATTCTGGGATTATTATAATGTGTTATCTTACTCAGATTTATCTTCAAATATTAGCTGAGAGGACTAAGAAATGGATGATTAGTCCAACTGTAATACAAATGGACTAAAAAGAAAGTGAAGATGGTAGGAAGAGGTACCAGTGAGGGTAGAATTGAGATGAAGTACCTTGAGTGCAGTGGTTTTGGTAACACACATTTTCTTTGTTTATTTTTCTTATTCCCATAAAACCCAGCTAGTTCAGTTTTTTTCATTATATATATATATAATTGCATTTTAGGTTTTGGGTTACATGTGAAGAACATGCAAGATTGTTGCATAGGTACACACATGACAACGTGATTTGCTGCCTTCCTCCCCATCACCTCTATCTGTGCTTTAGTATTTGGATCAGATAGTATCTTTAAGGTTCACATTATTTTAATGGTAATTTATGCATGAAAAGACTAAATGTTCTATACCTCATATATGATAAAATGTATACTTAATATAAATACATTTACTAAAAATATGTAACCGAATACTCATACAACAAAATTTATAAAAGAAAAATCTGTATTTATATTTGAAAGTGATTCAAGTATTCAAATGATTATAATTCATTTAGGGGTTTTGTGGATTAACCGCAAAAAAAAAAGTTTACAAACGTAAACTTTCTTTATATTACTATATTTTAGTATAGGTACAAATAAACATGGTGAATTTATTTTTATTTTTTAGAAAATGCTTACTTTTTTAGAAATGTTCATTATTTATCTGATAATTTTTAAAAAATGTTCTGGAACGTACATAGGTATCAGGAAGCACTGGCTTCTCATGCTTTAGTTATCAGACTTTCTAAGGGGAAATAATTTTTCTATCGTTAAGTCCTTATGCTTATCCATTTTAGTTCACCTTTTTGTTAAAATTTCTTGGGTTAAACAAAACAGAAAGTAATGTGTTATCTAATGCCATTCTCTGAGTTACATTACCATCATATGCACACAATAAAGTAGTTTACTTACCAAGACATGAAAACTGCTTTTCAGCTAGAAATACAAATGTTCCCCTTGATTGAGTTTTAATGAAGATAGATATACACATCTGCAAATGTATACAGAGAAAGAGAGAACACAGAGTGCAAGTAAATGCATTTATGAGCCAGCAGGACATGCAGGCTTTGTTTTGTCTGATATTGTTGTTATCCATGAGTTTAGATGTAAGTGAAGCACTAGTCTTACAGAGCAGCTTTTCCTACACTCCATTTCTCTTCTTTCCAGCCTGGCGTTAAGCTTTCGAACCAAGCTCTCTTTTACAGCTTATCTGATCTAACTGTATCAGCCTTTTTTCAGCAGTGAATATAAATGTTACATGCTGTGAAACTGCCTTGTTTTCTAAAGTGTAATATTTACCACCCATATTCACTTTCTCTTTTTTACTTAACCAAACATAGCTTCTGGTCTTTACAGACTATAAACATCCATCCCCCGACCCTGAATGATAGGCTTAAATTCAGTTTCTTCAACCTAGCAACTTTGCCAGCTCTTCTGTACTTTTAAATTTGAATCCATGCTTTGAGATTATTCCACAAGCCTGAAAATCAAATAAAAATAGTCCTTCTTCTATAAAGTACTATTTTCTTATATATGTTTAAACACATACACCCACACTTATACATGCATGTATTCCACCAAATTATATCATATTAGGGTTATCTTTGTTTAGCACAAAATCTGTCCTAAAATATGACACCCAAATTATTAATATCTTTTAAAAGATAAGTAAAAATAAGACAATTTAATATTTAAGGATGATGCCTTTAATCTTTAGCATTTGTAAATTTTTTCCTTGACAATATAATTTATTCCCCAGAATTCACCAAGGCTGTAAACTTTAATTAAGACAATCAGACTACAAAATATTGAAAATGTTAAAGTAGGAAAGCACCTTTCCCAGGATATATGAGATAATAAGATTTTGATATTCTATATTAGTGAAGAGATTACATTGAAAAAGGTAAATGGCACAACAGAAAGTCATTATTTTTAAACAGAAAGTTCATTAGGATGCTGTACTATAATCTTTCTTTTGGTCTAAAATCTTAAATAATATTTTCATAATAATTAAAACTTAATTTCTTTAAGCACAGCTAGAATTTATATAGGTATACATGTTTATAAGTTAAATATATATATGTATCTCACACTTTAATGTGTCTATCTAGATTCACTATAATATACATACAATATATTGTCAATATAATATTCTTCATATTAAAATGAGATTTTTAATATTTTTGGGATTACATTCTATATGATAGATTCCTAACTGGTTTTATTATTAAGAGCTCAAAGAGCTTTTTAGCAGTGACAGTCCTTCCTGGATATTTGTGTTGAAATTTGATCTCACTTATGTTTCTCCTTAGCCACATTCTCTTGCCTTAAGATCCAGATTATTACAGCAGAGGTTAGTCAATGCTCTCAAGACTTGTGAGGACTTAATGAATGTGGCAATCTGAACACAGAAACTTGTCTAATTGATTATTTCTCAAGATGACAGTAAATGCAATTTGAGGCCAAACTTTTAAGGCAAGTTGCAACCGAGGTTTATATTCATTCATTCAGAAGCATTACTTTAACATCCACTCTCTGCTGGGGCATTTTCTCCAGACAAGTAATTCTTAAAGTGTGAACCATGTTACAATATAGGGGTTCCAAAGATTTTTTAAAAATTATAATAATATTATAATGATATCTACTGTTTTCACTTACTATATCTAGGGAGTATAAAGTCTTCCAGTGAAATCTTCCAGAAGCTATGTGATTTATTATATCACAGAAGATTGTATATAAAAACAGATATGAGAATCTAGCTGCCTTCTAATAAGTCATACATTAAAGAGATGCACAAAATATATATATCTCTCAATAAACATTTTTGTTTGGGAAAGTGTAATCTTTTAACTAAGTTATTTTTCCTATTCTATGTAATTATGGTTAAAGTTAATAACCAGAATAAAATAACTAATTTTAAATGTTTCTAAGTTTGCATTCCTAAGACCACAAATTTTGACAGCTACACACAAAAATGACATGGATTCATTATATATTTAAGGATATAATGGGGTCCTGACACCAAGGGATTTGTGAGCTGCTGTTTTGGGTTCTAGAATCTTAATTAGTTTTCTTCTCCGGTTCTCATGAATCCATTATGGAAGTAGTATAGACTACATTCAAATGTGGTCCTTAGCTATCTCACCATTATTTCCTGTTTTAAGCTTTGAGAAAAACTTATTTTCAACTCTCAAGCAGTTCATACCAGATCCTGGAATAAAGAGAACATCTGGGAAAAATCCCAATTAGTGTTGTTTTGTCCTAGTTCTCTTATTTCCAATTTTTCCTTAGAGATACAAACCAAAGACCCTTGATTATAGATTTAAAAATTTTTCTTATCCTCTTTCACTTGACTACTAAGTGATCATACTGTGTAAAAAGTTAGCTCCACCTTTGCACAGTGGAAGTATTACAGCTGATGAGCTTTATCTGAAGCACAAATATTGCAAATTCAAAACTTTTCCCAGTACCCCGCATTGACAACTTGAAATATGGGTTGACATTCACAATTTTTGACAGTCTCAACAGAGAATGAGCCATTTTTGTTTAAAGAAACAAAAACAAACAAACAAACGAAAAACTTAGCTCCATCTAAAGGACTTTATATCTAACCTTGTGTTGGATGTACAGTCCCTTAATTTTACAACCCTCCTCCATTTTGCTTGCCCAACTGCATAATTAACAATGGTGCAACAGGCAGTGCTAAGACCCTTAAAAGTCAAATTACAAGTCTTCAGTCCTTTGCAAGTCTAAGACCCTTTTTGCGGTTTTTTGTTTCATATTTATGACTCATAAGACAATGGCCAACACAGTGAAAACCCGTCTCTACTAAAAATACAAAAAATTAGCCAGGTATGGAGGCACACACCTGTAGTCTCAACTACTCAGGAGGCTGAGACAGGAGAATTGATTGGACCTGGGAGGCAGAGGTTGCAGTGAGCTGAGATCACACCACTGCATTCCAGCCCGGGCAACAGAGAAAGACTCTGGCTCAAAGAAAAAAAAAAGAAAAAGCTAGGGTAGTCTGATGTAATGGATGTGAGCATGAATTTATTTCAGACTTTATTCATATTTAAGTGTCTTCCCCAGAAAACATAATGAGGTTATGAAAAGTACAGCCTTATCATATTTTAAAACATTTAAGAAATATTTTAAAAGTTGTCTAATTCATCTAGTTTTTTTGAAATATATGTTTTGGAATCTCAAAATAAGCACCGATCTAACTAAGTAAATATGAATTATTGATCTGTTATTTCTTCCACCTTGAAAATTTTACTCAAAGTTTGAAAATAGACTAAGTCATTCCACACCTTACTTAACCTCCCCTATATTTGTTATAATAGACAATAGTCTATTTGTGCTCTTTCAGAGGT